ACTGTTTAAAAGACTTTGTTTTTACTTCAGATCTCTACATTTCCTCTTATCTCACAGTAACATGCACTGAAGGGCTGGTTGGGTGGGAGTGTTATTCATACATGAAGTAAACAAAAAAAACATAAATGCAGATTCTTCTAGCCTTAAGATCTTTGGGAAAGGCTGTTTCTGGAGCGAATGCTCAGCTGTTGTGATGTTCAAACAGGATGGAGATAGGAAAGTACCAACAGAATTTTAAAGCATCCATTAGCGTTTGCATCCAGGAGTCTTCCATTTTAAAAATCTACTGTGAAAAATGAATTAATTAGAATACTGTCAAGACACAAAATCTGCTTAAATATATGCTGACAGAAAAGTTAAATTAATCATTACAGAATGAGGTCTGTGGAAGGGCACATGTGCTATTTGAACAAACGTAGCTACTTGGGCCATAATTTCCTCCCTTATTTTAATCCCAGGAATGTTTGAAGTGTATTGTATTTTTTTTTAAAAAAAAAATCTTGTTGGTCATATTACATTTTGTCAAATACGATTCTTGAACATCCCATAGTACATTTTGAGCTGACCGGATAGATGGAGTCAATGTGCCCCTCCAGCAAATTCCTCCTGCATAGAAATGTTTTTACTTTTTTTTCTGCCATTTTGTTTTCCTGTGGGCACAGGAACCAGAGGCTGATTTTGGTTGGTGGTTCCTATTCAAAACCTGCAGCTACTTCACCTCCCAGGAAGGTGCCAATGAGTAGATGTTTGTTTGCTTTTCCCAATGTGAGAATTACTTCGAGTGTCAGGATGTTCCTCACTGGCGGGGAGAGGAATGTTTTAATTCCTCATCTTTGTCTAAAAGGACAAGACAAGTATTGGAGGGATTTGGGGGTGGGGGGCGTAATTCTCTTTCGGCTAGCAGAGCATAACGTACAAAAAAGAAACAGCTGTAGCACAGGGAGAATGTGAAGGAGAATAACTTCTACCCAACCGCTGTGTTCTCACAGTGACTAGCCTTTGGTATATAAAGCTCACTCTACAAGTAGCTTAAGTAGAAAAGAAAAACGTCTTTACCTATAGTTGATCTTCAGTTACAATCAGAAGAATAAAAGAAAAAAATAGAGCCTCCATCATGTGGAAGAGATGCTTGCTACATGATCAGAGCACAGAAAGTAAGAGAGAAAGAGAGAGCAAACAAAACAATGGAGGTAAGCAAACAGAAAGAGTGGCAGGGACTTGCCTCAAGCCTGGGGAAAGGGCTTTATGAATTGGTTAGCAGGAAGCCATAATTATGTTAGATTGTGAAGCTCCCTCTTCTCATTGAAACCCAGAGTTAGGTTGCATGCAAGATTGTTATTTTATCCAACAACAAGGATTTGCATCTCTAGATATAGTTTTACTGAAGATGATTGTTCGGAACAAAGTATAACATTTGAAGTGAAGACTTCATTAACTACCATGCAAAAGGACTGTTTAGGCACTGCTCCCCCACTGTATGAGTGGCCTTGATTTTTATTTTTTTACAAGTTACCTGGCATTCTGCCTTGATTTTGTTCCCTACAGTTTAATGATGCAGCAAAGTGATATCATATGGTTGAGTGTCACAGTTTTATTGTAATAGAAAGCTGTTTGGCTCCATCCTTACTTCTTGCTGGTTTTTCCTCTTGTATAAATTTGATCTAATTGCATGCCTTATCTTTAAGCTACTCCTTAAATGACCTCTCATTAGGTCCTACTTAAGACTCATGTGTCTTTGTGTGTCAGCAGACTCTTCAAATCCACGTACACACCCAAATGAGAAGTGTAATGAGTACAAAAACAACACTGTAGTTTGATAGAAGCTTTCATTAAACGATTCCTTAATGGAACCTGCTGCACTCTGTTGATTGCACAATCAACAACTAATGAAATTGTCTTGGTAACAAGACTGAGAGGGTTGTAGCATATCCTCTCTTGAGACTGAAGTGGGAAGACAATTGTGCTGTCATGAAGAGGAGGCTATTGATTGTTCACAGTTTGAGCTTGATTGCCCTTAAGAGGAGCTAAGCAAGGAGATCATCTCAAAACTTGCCTTAAATGATTGTATTGTCTTGGAAAGCTGAAATTTTCATTCTCTTATGGAAGATTCAAGCATCCCAAACTGTTGTTGATGTAATCTCAGGAGGCCAAACAGCATTCTCATCTAAGTAAAGCAAACTTATTGTTCTGTACAACTGTTAATGGAGGAAAGGTTCCAAACATTGAGGAGAAGTAACAGGAGATGGGAGATCCAGGATGCAAACGTGGACAAGATAAAATTAGGAAAGAGTGTCAGGAGAGTGGGAAGGGTAAACAAAGAGGAGAACTATGCTCCTCCATCTTTCTTAGCTGTGTAGAAGAGAATATTTTATCAGGGATTGAGTGGAACTCGTCTTTTTAGAGAAGAGTATGAGAAGAACTGTAATGATCTAGAGCAGTGGTCCCCAACCTTGGGCCTCCAGATGTTCTTGGACTACAACTCCCAGAAATCTTCACCACCACCTCTGTTGGCCAGGATTTCTGGGAGTCGATGTTCAAGAACATCTGGAGGCTCAAGGTTGGGGACCGCTGATCTAGAGCAAGGATGTAACGAATATTCTTTCAATTCTCAAACGAAAAGGATGTCCTGGTGCATCATCATAGCCCAGCTGAGAAAATTACTGGTTTCTGTGAGCTATTTCACTCTTTCACAAGACCAAAAAGATCAATGTGGTTCCCCCCCCCAGCATCAGAATTAAGAAAGAAAAGTAGGTTTTTGCCCAAAGAACAAGGCTTTTGTGCAAAAATACAAGGTTTTTTTTCCCCTGCAAAAACTTTTTCCATGTTCCCATTCTGGAAATGAAGAAAATACACAAAAATGTAGTGGAAGGAACCGTGACACTTGGAATCTCTTGTTCATGGAGAGGAATGGAGTTAAAAAAAACATAGCCAGGTTTCTCAACACAATTTCCCCCCCAAACTGCACGGGATTCTTAAGGGAAACTACATATTTCCTGCACAATGGGGAAATGGAATGGGGAAAAGAAAATTGTAATAATCTTTCTCACCAAGCTGAGGATGATCACTTTAATTCTTTCTTGCACATGATCCCCTAGAAGGGACATTAAACTGTGTGGTATCTGACTGTTTCCTGTGAAGACCAACCGGTCAAAAACAGGTGGAAATTTTGAGATCAGAGCTGGGTCTTGGTTTTGTGGGAATCTGGACATGTTTTCTGATTCAAGGGGAAATCTAATTGGGGTATGTTGTCATGGCAAGACTTCAGAAATCGCTAAAACCAGGATATTTTTCAAGCACGTGTCACATGCCTAGTCTAGATTGTAGAAAAAAATAAATAAGAAAGAATTGCATTCACATTGCTGAACTTGGCCCAGTGCAGAACTAATTCCCAGTAAAACATTCCACAGGCTCCCACACTGTGGATTTGCATCTTCGTCCTTCCTCAAATTCAGATTCACTTGTCCCCTTTCATTTTCTTAGCTAAGAAGGACTAGAGTTATCCATACATCGATCTTAGTGATACCCATTGTAGGCTAGTTATGTGGCTGGACTTACATTTGCAAGCACTCATTTGAGTAAATCATGGTTACATTTAATATCAGTGTATGTGTAATGCTAGCCATAGCTTCGAAAAGGATGGAGTCTGCACATTGAGAGGAGGGGGAAGGTTCCAGAAGTTCAAGTGGGAGAGTATGTCTGAGTTGATGGGGTGCCCAATTTCCTAGCCATTACATCTTCCCCAAATACAGTGGTGCCTCACATTACGATGTTTATTCATTCCAGCAAAATTGCTATAGAACGAAAACGTCGTACTGCGAAAATAAAAAGCCCATTGAAACGCATTGAAACCCCTTCAATGCGTTCCAATGGGCTGGAAACTCACCGTCCAGCGAAGATCCTCCATAGGGCAGCCATTTTCGGTGGCTGTCTTGCGAGGAATCCATCCAAAAACACAGCGGGGAGCCATTTTATTTACCTGGTGGTCATTTTTAAACCGCCGATCAGCTGGAGGAAAATCGTCGTTTTGCGAAGAATCAGTTCCCAAAGCAGGGAACCGATCATCGCAAAGCAAAAAAAACCCATTCAGACCAGATCGTTGTAATGCGGGGCGATCGTAAATCACTGTATAGTGGTGCCTCTCAAGATGAATTTAATTCATTCTGCGGTTAATGCCTTTCTCCTTAAAAAAAAAAATCTAAGGCAGTTTAATATGTACTATGACATCATATTAGGGGGTGAAAGTAATAGTGACTTAAACTGACTACTGGTGAAGCCACTTCTAGTCCTTTTAAAGAGAAATGCAAGGTAAAAATCTTTATAAATAAATAAATAAATAAAAACCCCATTGCCAAAACCATTTGTCTTGCGAGTTTTTTGTCCTGCGAGGCATTTGTCTTGCGAGGCGCAACTGTATATAGAAGGGATGATTTATGAAAACGGTGCCCTTAAGGTACTCCTGTGAGTGGAAACATTGTCTAAGTTGCCTTAAAAAGATTTTGTGAGAGAAGTTGATGGACTTGCAACCCATTGACTCAAACAGAGACATATTTAAGAAGCATCTTAACTCATATGGAAGATGGAACATGCTTTTTTTTATGGCTCCAGAAGATAGGATTAGAAGTAATACTTATCAAGTTTACAAACTGAAATTAAACATTGACTAAACTTCCTAATAGTGGGAGCCATTTGACAATGGAATCGGCTGCCTCAGAGGCTGGTGGACTCTCTTTCACTGGAGATTTTTAAGCAGAAGTTGGATGGTCGGTTGTAAGGGATGCTTTAGCTGTGGATTTCTTGAACTGGCAAGCAGCTTCATTCAGTGATCCATAAGATCCCTTCCAGCTGTATGATTTTATGTCAGGAAGTCATCTTTGGGGAACAATATTTAAAAACTGGATGTTTGTAGGTGTTCCCACCCCACCCACCCCACATGTAATTTATATACCATTATGGAAATGACAGATAAGGGTTCCAGCAACAGCTGTTGTTTCTTTCCACAGGGGGAAATCCGAAAGGGAAGTTTGACCTTGGCCTGGTACAGAATGAGTGGAAGGTATATATAAAGAGACCATTAGATCGGGAAGAACAGGACCTCTATCTTCTAAACATTACCGCCACTGATGGCCTCTTCGTTACACAGAGTGCTGTAGAAGTGATTGTCACTGATGTTAATGACAATAGCCCCGTCTGTGATCAGGTTGGTTGGATTTATGGGTAGATTTGGGACTGGGAGGGTGCCTCATCCCAAAGTTTGCGGGTGGGGGCATGCTCGCTCTCACCCTCACTCTCTCATCTCTCTTTAATTATTAGCTGTGTTATTTTTTATTTCTAATTTCATTTTATCATGTTCTTGTATTCGTTTCTGATTTTTTTAAAAAGGCTACATAAATATGCATACAAATTTCCGTGCATGTTTCTTCTAATATATGCAGTTACTGTACGACATTTTGCCTAATATTCTGAAATTATGCAAGGATAACGATGAGAAGTCACTAATTCCTCACCATGTTTCCAACCCATGCCTACATGCTTTCATAATTGTTGATCACATTCTGTCATTTTGGGATTTGATCCTCAGGTTACATATATGGCATTATTTCCTGAGGACATTCCTCCAAACAAGATTATTCTCAAACTGGGCGCGAGAGATGCAGACATTGGATCTAATGGTGAAATTCGTTATTCTCTGTATGGCTCTGGGAACAACAAGTTTTTCTTAGATCCAGAAAGTGGTAAGATTACAAGCATTTTTATCTATTTTATGCAGAGCTGGCATGAGACTCACATTAATTCCCAGGTTGCAGGAGTGAGATGCATGGAAGAAGCTGAGTTGAAGGACTTTAACAAATACTTGAAAACTTTCTTGGTATCAGCAAAAATAAATAAATCTAAATACAGTGAGATTTATTTCCCATATTTTCCGTGTATAAGACTATACTTTTGTCTGAAATCTTTAGACTAAAAATTGAGGGTCGTCTTTTACACAGAGTTAAGGTGAGGAGAGAACAAAAATAAATGGAGTGGGATGCAGGGATCAAAGTGATCCTGCAGGGCTTTGATCCCTGCTTTCCCCTCCACTTGCTAAGCCCCACTTAGATTTCTTAATTTTGAGTTAGCAAAGTGGAGGGCATCTTATACATGGGGGCGTCTTATACACAGAAAAATACGGTATTTATTTATTTTATTAGATTCATACCCCACCCATCTAGACCAAAGGTCTACTCAGGGCGGCATTACAAATTAAAAAACAATAAAACCAATAAACATGCAGTAAATCTAATAAATAACAAGATGTGAAAATGTGAATTTAAGATACAGCAGGAGGGAAAGCCTGCCCAAATAGCCATGTCTTAATTTTACTTCTGAAGACACCCAGAGAGAGGAGCCAGGCGGAATTCCACAGGCAAGTTGTTCCAGAGACGAGGGGCCACTGCTGAGAAGGCCCGGTTCCTTGTTCTTTCCCTCTGGACCTCCCTCGACATTAGGCCCCTCAGCCGCCCAGCCTGGCTGGATCGAGTGACTCTGGCAGAACTGGGTGGGAGGAGGTGCTCTGCCAGATACTGCTTTCCAAAATTTAAAAAAAAGGGTGAACAACTGTGAGATTTCTCATTTCTCTGTAAAACTGAAAAGACCAAGTAGTTCTTTGGTAAGGAAGAACTACTTGTGCTTTACATTAAAGTTGTAAAATGTTTATGAGCAGGCAAATTAAGCCATTGCTGCAGCATAAGTGCTGCTCAGCTTTGCTAGCTGCTGATGCTGCGCAGAAGATAGTTGGCTTATGAATGAGGAGGCTGAGTTGCTTCAGTTCAATAATGTAGGAGACATAATGAAAGTATCTGGGTCAGGCACACCCCACGCAGACAGAGGACAAGGGTCGTGGACTGCAATGGTGAGGAAGCTGACATGTTAGCTTTAAAGCAGTAGGGAGTAGGGACCTCCATATTTAATTAACGTATCAGTAGGTGTGCTGCATTTCAGAGTTAGCTGACATGTTAGCTTTAAAGCAGTAGGGACCTCTATATTTAATTAACTTATCAGTAGATGTGCCGTATTTCAGAGTTGTCAGAAGAGGCAATATGAGCAGACCCCAAATAAAACGTATACTGTATATGGCAGGAAGGCTGAAATTGGAGATGAATGGGTCTTGTCAGCACCAAATGTTGAGTCATAAGTCTATTCATCCCTGATTCCTCTCCACAGAAATTCACATTTCAACAGTACTTTCTTTTTCTTTAGGACACATGCACTTCTGCTAAAGCAGGGGTGGGCAACATTCAGTCTATGGGCTCCCTGCAATCCCAGGGAACGGGATCCCTCTTCAACATTTGGCTCCCAAACCCACACATCCTTCTCAAATTACTTTTTTTAATTGTTCACAAAGTCCTCGTTTGCTTGCTCGGGGGCATGGGGGCAATTCTGTCTTGTTTCCAGGAGCATCCAGAACCACCGCAGGTCCCACAACCCCCACATTAAAAAGAAACATAAGCGCTTAGAGGATATTTTCAGTTAAATAAAATCAGTTTTTGTAATAAGGAGGGGAGGGGCGGTCATGGAAGCAGGGGTCATGTGGCCCTCCGTGATCCAGGGATGGATTTGTATGGCCTTTAGACCTCTGGAGGTTGCCCATACATGCCCTGAAGTGTGCATTACCCCTAAGTTTATGTATTTTTAACACATTTTTTCTCAAAAATATACAATGCCCTTATGTCTTTTGAGCCTAAACCTGAATCACAAAATCTGGAACAATGAATAATGCAAAGGGTGAATGTGTATTTATCGGGGAAGTACAAATTAGGACACTTTGGTCGTAAGTACAGGTCAGACAGAATTTTTCCCCCATCATCTGTAGCTTTACAGTGGACCCTCGACTTAGAAGTGTGCATTACCCCTAAGTTTATGTATTTTTAACACATTTTTTCTCAAAAATATACAATGCCCTTATGTCTTTTGAGCCTAAACCCGAATCACAAAATCTGGAGCAATGAATAATGCAAAGGGTGATTGTGTATTGATCTGGGAAGTACAAATTAGGATACTTTGGTCGTAAGTACAGGTCAAACAGAATTTCCCCCCATCATCTGTAGCTTTATCTCCACTTTGCATCATCAAGTCTCTTCAGAGCCTAATTCCCCACCATTATCAGGCAACATTTTCGACTTGCAGCCACCGTTCCAATACGGATTAATTCCTTAAGTAGAGGGTCCACTGTATCTCCACTGTGCGTCATCAAGTCTCTTCAGAGCTTAATTCCCCACCATTAACAATAGTCTCTCACCAAATGTTATGCAAGTTAGAGCTGATGGAAGCTGCTGTCCAGCAGCATCTGAAGAGTCACATCTCCCACCCACCCATCCATGGCAGAGTTATGGAGTCTGAAGACAGACTCTGAAGATTGAACCCTTCTGACTAGAAAAAGGTGGTGGGAGGGGGGACATTTGAAATAGAGAGGGAACTATTGGCTGTTACTGGATTGATTGAGATTAACTGCAGCTCCCTCCCAGCCATAACCTCTTAAAGGCATCATACGTAGGTTGCAATTTATTCAACACTTCCATCTGCTCAGTTCTCAGGATCCAACCCATTTTCAGGTAAAATTGCATTGTAAGTACAATATAGTAGTAATGGTAGTAAAGCAAACATCATTATGATAATGTTGTTTGTCTTTATATTTCCTACTGTCCTTGTTGAATCAATTTTAGGAGAGCTCAAAACTTTATCTCCATTAGACCGGGAGAAGATCCCTGTGTACAATCTAATAGCCAGGGCAACAGATGGGGGAGGAAGGTTTTGTCAGTCAGAAATCCATCTGATTCTTGAAGATGTGAACGACAATTCACCAGTGTTTTCCTCCGATCATTACACCGCATGTGTCTATGAGAATACTGCAACTAAAGCTTTGCTGACAAGAGTACAAGCCAATGATCCGGATATGGGTGAGTAAATGAGACTGCAAAGAATACTATCAATATTTTATAAATAAGTCAAGTTTGGTGATGCCTACTAGTTTGTATTCATTTTCCTTGTACAGTGGTGCCTCGCTTGACAACGTTAATTCGTTCCAGCAAAATCGCTGTAGAGCGAAAACGTCGTCAAACGAAATTAAAAAAACCCATTGAAACGCATCGAAAACCATTCAATGCGTTCCAATGGGCTGAATA